TTTTCACACAGCTCACACCCCGCTGGCCGCCCCGGATCCCGCGCTCGCCTCGCGGTATCCCCACCAGCTCGCCGCACCTCGGCTGGGAGCTGAGGACCCGCCGCCAGGCACTCCGGCCCCGCCCACCTCGCCTCCTCCATTGGATGAATCTCGGCTGAGGAACCGCCCCTCCGCGTCTCTCATTTGACGAAGGGCGTGTAGAGCGCGCCGTTCTGGAGCGGTCAAAGAGGCCCCGCCCCCTGGAGTCCAATGCGATTGGTCCGGGCGCCTCGTCCCGTAACGCCCCTGGCGGAGACCACGCTCTAGAGGATCAGGTTGGTCCTGGCTGCTGTCACTCAACCCCGGGGGTCTGAAAGCGCGTGGAGGGGCGAGGCTAGGGCCTGGGTCCACCTTGACCCTGAAGCTCCGCCTCGTCGCGGGCGGGATTGGTGGAGCTGCAGACCAACCAAGAAAGATGGGTCGGCGTCTGAAACAAAGCACGCGAAGAGTTCCCAGAAAAACCTAGAAGGGCAGGCGCAATCGGGGCAGTTTGGGTCTAGCTGCCCGAAGTAGGGGAGGCAGCCCGTCCTTCGTGCCGGGCGCTGCGCGTCCGGGTCTCCTGCCTGCCACGCACGCCTCTGAGCGGCTCTCTGCAGGAGCCCAGCCCGCGCCGAACTTGCACTTCTCTTGCTGGCTGTTTCCTGCAGCTGGACACTGGATGAAGAATTGCCGCGTCTTCCTTTCCGGCAGACGCTCCGGTGAGGAACAAATTCCTATTTCTTGCACAGCAGTCTCTCGCCGTTTTCGAGTGCACTGCTTTTCCGGAGTTAACGCACTTCTTCCCCCTTCGTCCCAGATGGGCTGTTCCCACGGCTTCGGGGTTGCGGGCATCGTCCGTCACCCACACATCCAGCTGCAGGCTCCAGCCCGCACAGCCGTGGAGGAAATGCAGTACCCGGGCCGCCCTCGGCAGGGCCCCAGCCTCCTCGGACAAGTCGCATCCGCTGAGACAGCCGGAGTCACTGCGCTGGGCGGCGGCCCAGAAAGCAAGCTGGCTGCTACTTGGCAGAGGGAGACATTACTTGGAGGTGACTTCTTACCAGTGAATTTCCTAAGTCAGGAATTTGCACCATCTTCGTGAGTTCCGACCAGTTTTTCCAGTGCTTTCAAACCAACTCACCACATTCACATTATTGTCGTGAGAAATGTTCTTTTGAGGTATTCATGGAGGATCGCTACCTCCTTCCCGAATCACTGCACACTGTACACCGCCTCCCGGTACCTCGAGGCCCTGCCCCCACAGCTGGCACCAGAGCTCCCCACTGATCGTGCCCCAACAGAACAAAAGTCGTTTAGTTGCTAGATTTCTACAGCCAAGGCTTCTGAGTTTCGGGGGTTCTGAAATTTAGGTTTCAAATCAGGGCGTCATGTTACACCAAACAAGATATTTGAAGAACAGAATCCAACCAGTTCCCCTGTCCCACACCAATGGCTTTGTAATACCCTAATGTCTCATTAATAAATTACGGCCTTATCTATAATAATAAAAGCATAATATGCTAATTAGATGGGACAGCCAAATGACCTTCCAGACGACCTTCCAGGCAAAACCCCTTGCATGAATTTCGTGCATCGGGCCTCTAGTAATTTATAAAATACTGGAGGCCCAGTGCACAAAATTCATGCGCGTGTGTGTGTGTGTGTGTGTGTCCCTCAGCGTGTGTGTCCCTCAGCACAGCCTGCACCCTCTCCAATCTGGGACTCCTCAAGGGATGTCTGACTGCTCAGTGGGATCAGGCCAAAATGGGCATTCGGACATCCCTCTCACACTCCAGCACTGGTGGCTTCCAATTGCTCGCCCCGGCCTGATCCCCCCCTAACCACTCCCCTGCCAGCCTGATTTCCCCCTAACCACTCCCCTGCCAGCCTGATCTCCCCCTAACCACTCCCCTGCCAGCCTGATCTCCCCCTAACCTCTCCCCTGCCAGCCTGATCTCCCACTAACCACTCCCCTGCCAGCCTGATCTCCTGCTAACCACTCCCCTGCCAGCCTGATCACCGCCTAACCACTCTCCTGCCGGCTCGATTGCCCCTAAGTGCCTCCCCTGCAGGCCTGGGCCTCCCCACAACTGCCCTCCCCTGCAGGGCTGGGCCCCCCACAACTACCCTCCCCTGCAGGCCTGGTTACCCACAACTGCCCTCCTCTGCCAGCCTTCTTGTGGCAGCCATCTTTGACCACATGGGGGCAGCCATCTTGTGTGTTGGAGTGATGGTCAATTTGCATATTACTGCTTTATTATATAGGATAATCTATGGTATTTCTATCATTCAAACACTTAAAAATCTATGAACATCTAATCATAGAACCTCATAATTAAACCTGAACTTATCCACCTCAGGTTCCTTCTCAACACACGAATATCATCCTTCTCGGTGACATTTAACCTGACAGAGCGTCAGCTGGGCCCTACAGAGACGAGTAGGTACCTCTGGACTCAGAGATAGGCCATCCTGGTCCCACAGATTGCCTAATCTCTGTCCTTACTCTCAGCAGAAAAGCTGCTCCTACATTCTTTATCCCATTTATGTTTTCAACCTGTTCTACATCTAGGAAATAATAAATTATATATAATTTATACAAGTTCATAATATTTTGTATATGTAATTTTTGTATAGTATTTTATTCATCATCATCATACTTCAAGGGCTGAGACACAGAGGTTATTTTGCAAAAATTCAAATAAGCCCACAATTAATTTGTCTTAGGTAGCCCTTTGCTATATGGGTTTATTTGCAGCAAACTTTTTAATAATGTATGTAAACAACAATTAAGCTACATGAGGGACCTGCCTGCTACTTGGCCTCTAACATCCAACACTCTTCTGGCACAGAGTGTCCCTAAAAAAGGATAGAATGCACAGCCTCTGGTTTTTGGTTTTGTGTTTGTTTGTTTGTTTTTCAGTTAAATCTGTATGATTATTTTCAAGTAAAAAAACAGATAGTAATTTACACAGATCTTTGTAATGAGTCGGCTGTAGCCTGAAGATTGAGTGGCAAAGCTCATTATTGGTCTGCTAAACCTCTCTGACCCCATGTTTTTTAATTATAAAGCAGATATAAATGACTACATAATATCCTATAAATATTATCCCATCATTTTAATAATCCATAAGATTATAAACCTTTGAGGGCAGGAAAGTTATTACATTTAGTTTTATATCCCTAGTTCCTAGTATTGTGCTTTCAAATAGTAGGTACTAGTTAACAGTTCCTTAAAGTGAACTGAATGTTGACTACTGTGAAATTTTAGATCTGGAAGGAACCTTGGAAACTATCAAATTCAAATTTCTCATTTTAAGAATATGAGACTTGAGGTCCAAAGAATTAAATGTTTAATCCAAGCCACTCAGCTAGTTAATAATAAAACATTAATTAAGCTCATTTTTCCCCTGCACCACACTGTCCAATCAGCAACAAGGCTTCAAATTCCAAAGATGGGTAAATTACTCTCCCTTCCCATTTGAAAGTTATTATATCAATCTAATACAAATTTTCAGAGCTAGAAATTTCAGTAAGAATTTTTTTCAATATATAACATATTTCCATTTTTTTTCCTCATTGGTAGCATTCCCAAATAAATTGATCCCTGTAGGGATGTTTACCAAAATAAGAGTTCCACTTCTGTGTGTTTATATTCAAATCCTTGGAGAAAAAAATTAATAATTGTCTTGGGACTGTGATGAGTAGAGATATTTGGGGGTTCAGTCTCTCTGCCATTTTGCTTCACCTGCATTAAGGTAATTTTAACCAAGTTACCCAGTGTCAACTGATACACAATTTAATTGGATTTTTCTATTTTGTTTGTTATACAATATTAATTTTAATCAGATACTAGTATATTTTTAAATACCCTAAGCCTAAATTAAATTTTGATATGGAAAAGACTAGTGAGGTAAAGAACAACAGAAGTCTAAATAAAATGTTAAAACTTTTCCCCAAATTCTATAAATTCCACAATAGCATGGTTTTCCTGCAGGTGTCAGGGTTGGAGATATAGAATGAGGAATGGCATAGTCCTCAAGACTAAAATAACGTTGGGCCTGCTCAGACAAATAAGTAAATGTGCCCCTGGTAAGATTTGAAGAGAGTGAGAAAGAACATAAGCCAAGGAGGAAGTAAATACAGTTGACCCTTGAACAACACCGGATTGAGTGGTGCTGACCCCACTCACAGTCGAAAATTCACATATAACTTTTGATTCTCCAAAAACTGAACTATTAATAGCCTTAGTGATAACATAAACAGACAATACATATTTTGTACATTATATATATTATTAAACTACAATAAAGCTAGAGAAAAGAAAATATTAAGAAAGTCATAAGGAAAACACATTTACAGTATTTATTGAAAAAAGAAAGTCCATGTATATATAAGTGGACCCATACAGTTCAAATCTGTGTTGTTCGAGGATCAACTGTGTATCCATAGAATTCAGCATAGTTTACTTCTCCAAACTCATAACCAACTGACAGTTTGCCAACCCAAATAATGATAACTTTTTTTAGTGTTTCCAAGGTTATGGGCGCTACCCTTATAGAGCTTTGATTATAAATTATTCCACCACCCCAATGGGGTACTAATATTATCTCTAATTTATAGGTAAGTTAACAGGCTTAGAGAGCTTCAGCAAATTGTCACTCAGCTAAGAGGTTACAGTGTCCCTAAGTAGCCAAACTCTCTATGTTATAATGTTCCCATGCTGGGCTTCAGTTCCCTCTCTTTTTATTAATATACTAGAGGCCCCCGGTGCATGAAATTTGTGCACAGCGGGGGTGTCCCTTAGCCCGGCCTGCACCCTCTCCAATCCAGGACCCCTCAGGGGATGTCTGACTGCCTAAACTGTCAGTCGGACATCCCTCTCCCAATCCAGGACCGCTGGCTCCTAACCACTTGCCTGCCTGTCTGCCTGATCGCCCCTAACTACCTCTGCCTGCCAGCCAGATCGCCCCTAACCACCTCCTTTTGCTGGCCTGATTGCCCCCAACTGCCCTCCCCTGCCAGCCTGATCCCCCCCTAACTGCTTGCTCCCCCCCTGGCCTGATCACCCCTAACTTCTTGCTCCCCTGCTAGCCGATAACCCCTAACCGCCTCTACCTCGGCCCCTGCCACCATGGCTTTGTCCAGGAGGAAGTCGCACATCCGGAAGATGTGTGGTTGACCCTGTCTAATTAGCATATTACCCTTTTATTAATATAGATGCCTTGAGAGATTGATTTACAATAATATGGATGTGAATCTGCTTTTATTGTTCTTAATCTTTATTGTTGAAAGTATTATATATGTCCCTGCGAACCTGCTTTTAAAAGATAGTGACATCTGACCTTTCTTGAGTTGAATATCTAACCACTCAGGCTGTCTTTGTAGACATATATCAGGAAAAATACCAGTCAGATTATTTCCAGGTTACTATATCATTCTTGTCTATTTTATCTTTTGACCTTGTTTCAACAGTAACTATCTGCTTCATGGTATATTATGAATAAGATTATTTATCCAGAGTCTCTAATAGGGCTCTGCTGAATACTCTGAAAAATACTCAAATAGGTACTCTGAAAAAAATCAGAGAGGGGACAGCCTCTTCAGCCAACTGGAATTCACCTCTTAACCACTGAGGCCCATGTCAATGGGAACCAGTTTCAGCTCTCAAGCTTTCAATTACATATGGCTGTCACTGTAACATATGTTGCTTTTCACATACATACATAGGACAGCTCTGCTAATAGCCACTTGCCAGATGCTACTAGGGTTATAAAAATGTTGGCTTAATTTTTCAGTACCTGCATACAATCAGGTCTTAACTATCAGGTTAACGGGAAAAGCACAGAAGTAGGCATTTACCTCCGTGTCACCAGTGAGGACAGCCTCTCCTCAAAACTGGTAGTGATTGACAACCTGTAAAGATGGCATCATTTGCCTGCCATCTTGCTTTACTACACTTTCTCTTTTATCAGCTTCCTTTTACCCTACCTTACACCAGAGGTCAGACACTGACAAACATGGCAACCTCTTTACTATAATCACTACAAGTTACTTCATAGAATTGTTATATTCCTGTTATGTGGGCACATTCAAGAGACTTTCATTTTTTCATCCTCCTCCTTTGGGGCTATGGCATGTCCCCCAATATAAAAAAAAATTAACAGATGGAACCATCCAGAACCAATTCACACTGGGCATTTTAGCCCTGGGCATCCTTTTGCCACTTTCTCTGAAGCATACGAAAGCATCCTTCCCCAGGACATGCCACCAATGGGAAATTAGCCTGGTTTGGAATTGAAATGTGAGACTTTACACATAAAGGAAAAAATGAGTAACCACTATCAATGCTGTGTCGTTCAAACTCTTTGAAAATGAACTGAATAAGGATTTATTTGTACTAGAAGTTCAAATGGATATAGGAAGTTCCTGTGGCTATAGAAAGATGGCATCCTAAACAAGTAAACAGATTGTAATAAATTGCAGGAGATTCTACATGAATAGAGACAAATACTGTGCTCCCAGAATGAATAATTTCTCTTCCTGGTACTTTGAAATAATGTTACCCTTCTCTGAGAGCCACAGTTACTGGCATAAAGATTTTTAATCTACTATACCAGAGGCAAAGGCAAAATGTCTTTAAGTAATACCTTGCACCGGGCTGAATTAAGACTCAAAACCCTACCACTTAAACCCCTGAGCAGGCACTAAACTTGTCTGGAGCTTCAGTTCCTTCATCTGTAAAAATGTGAGCTCTACTTTCAAGGAATAAATAAAGACTAAGTAGATAAAATACGTAAAAGCATTTATAAAAGTAGGAGAGGGAAGCAGGA